GAGCAAGAAGAACAAGAGGAGGAGGAGCAAGAAGAACAAGAGGAGGAGCAAGAGAAACAAGAGGAGGAACAAGAAGAACAAGAGGAGGAGGAGCAAGAAGAACAAGAGGAGGAGGAGCAAGAAGAACAAGAGGAGGAGGAGCAAGAAGAACAAGAGGAGGAGGAGCAAGAAGAACAAGAGGAGGAGGAACAAGAAGAACAAGAGGAGGAGGAACAAGAAGAACAAGAGGAGGAGGAACAAGAAGAACAAGAGGAGGAACAAGAAGAACAAGAGGAGGAGGAACAAGAGGAGGAGGAGGAGGAGGAGGAACAAGAGGAGGAACAAGAAGAACAAGAGGAGGAGGAACAAGAAGAACAAGAGGAGGAGGAACAAGAAGAACAAGAGGAGGAGGAACAAGAAGAACAAGAGGAGGAGGAACAAGAGGAGGAGGAGGAGGCAGCGGCGTGGGCCAAGAAACACACAGTTTCCACCATGAAGGTCACTGTTGCTGACCTTACGTGAGTGGAACCACATGATTGGCTGAAACATGTTTCCCACTGCGGCTGTTAAAACCAGACGATTGGCTTTCGTGCAGGAGGTGCGGCATGACCGCCATCTTTAACCTTACGGGCTTTCCCCATAGAGTTGTACTGAGGATGTGATTGAGCGGCCTGTCTCCTCTATAAAACGTCTGTGGCGTGTCACAGGTGTTACCCAATCAGCCACAACCAGTCAGTAACACAGCCGTGTTAAAAAGGCAGGAAAACGCAGTGCGCTTGCGTTCACAACAGGGCATTCGGCCGTGATCGGTATTCAGGTTTGAGTTCGGCGTGTGTTCGGCGTGTGTTACCTGGACAGGCTCCACACCAGAGCCATGTTGTCTTTTCCTCCAGAGACAAAATGGCTGCTGTCATCTGTGAACTTCAGACAGGTGACATCCTGATAATGACGACTGAGGACACACAGCAGCTTACCTGTCGACACCTGAGCAAATCAGAGAACAGGCGTTAATCACAGAGGAGGAGAAAGACATACATCGGACCCATCCAACTGGCAGGCCACATCAAGGAGACGTCACAGACTGGGTATGTAAATGCTCTGTAAAGCACCTTTCTAGTCTTTTCGACCACTCATAGCGCTTTTACACTACAGCATTCACACACATTCATTCACTGGCGGAACGGCCACCAGGGGCAATTCGGGGTTCAGTATGTTGCCCGAGGACACTTGGACATGCAGCCGGGGATTGAACCTCCGGCCTTCTGATTAACGAGCAACCCGCTCTGTCTCCTGAGCCACAGCCGTATGAAGCAGCTAACGAGGAGCCGTCGCACCTCCTCCTCCTCCTCCACACACAGGGAGGGTTACTTTAAAAATGTACAATTACTAATTACTTGTTTAAAAATGTGATCAGTAACGTAATCCAAGTACCACTAAATAATAATAATGTAATCTGATTACTTTTGGATTACTTCAATACCAAATCCGCAAATAGAGACAAGAGAGTACGGAAGACGTGTTTTCTGCTCAGTGGATTTTAATTATAAAATCTGCCATTCGCATGAAATGAAAGTTTGAATGTTGTGTGAGATGACGGGGCCGGTCCGCCAGGATCTGGCTCATCACTGACCAGCGATGTTCTTGATGATATTGCAGAGTGAATATTCTGCACTGGGGGCTGCTTTAGTGTTTATGACGCTGCGGGACTGGGTCCCCTGATTATTGAACAAAAGCTCAACTTTATTCACTGATTTTGCTGAAACTTGATCGTATTTGATGGAAAATATTTACTGCTTTTCGGTCAGATGTTTTCCGGCTGCTCTGCCTCATCTTTACGTGATTTACCGAGTTCCCTGATGGACAGAGCTTTAGCTAAATGTTGCTGCTGCTAACTAGCTGCCGTTATCTAGTTAGCTCAGCTCACTCTGCAGCACTGGGAGTGTTTGTTTAAGTTTACACTTTTACTCGAGCACTGGAGGTTTTCAGGCCAGGGGACCCGGCGGGGAATGGCGCCAAGCGAGCGGGCAACAAAACTGTGCTCAGCTGCCTGAACACGACATGAGCAGGAGCGAACACAGTCTGATGAGCTGCCTCAGCCCCGGGTGACACTGTGTTCCCAGCGGTCAGACTGGCCTTCCGGTCCCGCCGCCGTGTTCACACAGCGAGAGCTGGAATCAGTCTGCACAGAGTCTGCATGACGGAGAGGGGGCGTAAAACATTCAACTACCGGCTGCACGCCGATCAACGACAGACACCTCACTAACTTTGTGTTTGTCCCAAACAGCAGTTCAAGTACCGCCCGTGTTTTTCCAAACCTGTTATCTGCACTGTAACGGAATACAGTTACTTTATTAACGCCGTTACAACCCTGTCCACTCGCACAAGGAGAAGAGGGACGTGGCCTGACTCACCTCCCACAGGTAAATGGCCTCAGCGATGGCGGCAGTGAGGAAGAGCCCGTTAGGTGAGGCGGTCAGACAGGTGACCACACCTGGACACACGATCTTCTGCTGCAGCTGATCCTGGACAACAAACAGGAAGTCACATGACAACAGAAACAGCAGAGGCGAGCCGGAACAAACACTTTTCAGATAAAAGAAAACGTTACAGAAATACTGTTGTTGCGATCAACAGCTCACGTGTGCGTTCAAGGATCTCGTTTGTCAGCAGTCAACACAAAACTATCAACAGTCATGACTCACAAACAAGAACAGGCAAATCCTCAACGTGAAAGACCACAGTTACAGTAAAAACAAAACCCTAAAACAAGTGAATGAAATTCCAGTGAATCATTTAAAATGCGGTTTGTCCTGCGTGTTGGCGTCCTGTATCTACGGCCTGAAGCAGCAACCTAAGCTTATCAAACAGAGGCTGGATCAGCCTTCTTCTGTCAGTACCAGCTGCTATCTTGTGAAAATATGCTGAACACGCCCGAATGAGACTTCAGTTTGATTTGACTTTAAACCAAAGGTGCGCATTGTTTTCCGGAAGAAACACAACGATACGATTACAGCTGGGCGAATCGGGGCGATGTGGCCCAAAATGTCATCACGATAAAAACATTTCATATCATTCGATATCAATAATTATCAGGATAAATGTCAAATCATTATTTCTTTTAAGTTTAAAGGCTGATTTTTGAGTGAAAACTGAAGAAACCAGATGGTTAATTAGTGGTTAAACTTTTCTTTATGGTCAGAATGGGACAAACACTTGATGCCAAACAGAGGAAACTTCACAGCTGGAACATTCAAACTATTATCTTTTTCAACCAATATGATTAGTTCATCTTTTTTTCAAAAATAAATATTTTAATAGAAAAATGAAGTGCTAATTTGTAGAATGGCTCCGTGACTCCTGACTTTAAAACTTCACTAGCTTCTAAACTTTGACATTTCATTTCTGTCTGTCATGTGATCATGACCACGGCACATGAAACAGTAAACGCAACTCGTCAGTCTTTTCCATACAACTCCGTGAACGTGTGACGTGTCCACCTGGCTTTTCGCGGTTCTTGTAAGTACTGTGTTCTGGATGTGCTGAGGTGGTTTGGCAGGTCAGACTGGTATAATCGCGGTTCATTTGTCCCGGCTCTCCCCTAAACAGTAATGTTCTGCATTCACACGCTCAATATCAGCTGCACAACACCTGCAATACAGTTAGCACCTGAACCAACCCCAACCCTGGACCCCAACCCTGCACCCCAACCCTGCACCCCCAACCCTGGACCCCCAACCCTGCACCCCAACCCTGCACCCCAACCCTGCACCCCAACCCTGACCCCCAACCCTGCACAATTGTATTTTGATTATTAAAAAAGTAATCGCTTATAAACGGGTTACCGAGAGTCTCTGAAACACAAGTTTCACGAGTAAAATTCCAATAGACTCGTTCAACAAGCATAAACATGTAGAAAGTCTAATTTAATCTGTCCAGCTGCAGACAGGAAGGTGTTTTCATTACTAGGCCTTCTTCATGTTAATCCTGCAGACGTTGTGTTAACGCCGTTTCTCCAGCAGCAGCTTTCTTTGCTGACTTTAAACAGCACGTCCTCAAAGTTTAGGACTATTATTATTAGATCATTCCAAATCTGTGTACTACTATTTTATCTACTATAACGACCTTAGTTTCTTTTAAATTGTGTAAGTAAACAGAGATGTGAACAGGTGGTGAACTTCAGCAGTCCACATACAGATGTAGAGTAATGGTATAATTACATTTTTAATTTATGAAATGATGTAAAATATAACAATCCTGAGTCAGTGATTTTATAACACACTAAAGCCCGTTTAATATACTGGATGCACACAGTCCTACTTTCTACAAAAAACAGAGAAATACAGAGTGTTGTGATGCAGGGAGAAAACATGAGCTGCACCTTCATTCAAAAATCTACTGATATTGTCTTTGATTATCGGCCACCTAATATTACTATAAATCAGATACGAGGTGTTAGGTAATATAATAAAAACTGGCTGATTTGAAATTCGGCGTAATTAAAAACCACGTTAATACACATTATTTATTCTTCATTAAACCTTTGCTACGGTTCCATCTATTCTCACGTCCTTCTTGAACCAAAACGCACAATGGAGGGATGCAGCGAGCTGAGCAGAGTTTATTACAGCAGACCATCATCTTTTAACTAAAGTTAAATTAAATTTGGTGGATGCTTTAAACGCCGAACTGACCAACAGACCCGACTGGTCGGTACTGCTTCTTGCCTGTTGTCTTACAGGTGTATTTGTGTTTGAAGGCGAGCGTCGTGCTAAAAATGACTGATTTCTTTACATGAGATTGGTGAGGTTTTGTCTGTCTGTGTTCAGGAGTGACTCCGGGCATTTCCCGCCACCTGTTCCCCGCAGGTGACACGCAGCAGGTGTGTTCTGCTGTGTTCGTGAGTCTCCAGGTGTGTTGAGATGCACGGCCCGTACCTTCCTCTGGATTTCCCACACGTTGATGAAGTTCTTGGCCACCTGGGCGGACAGCAGGTACTGCCCGCTGAGGACGGTCAGTGTCCGGGCCGCGCTGTTCCCTCCCCGGTAAGACAGCAGGCTGGAGCCGCTGTGCAGGTCGAACACGGTGCTGTTCCAGAGCTGAGACCCGGAGTCGCTGCTCACTATCACTTCCAGAGGAGCCGCCATGTTGGCTCCACCACAACACACTACACACGCGGGGAACCAGCGGGGTGCTCCATCATTTCCGGGACCAGGTGCATTGTGGGAGTTGTAGGAGAGGAACATCATCATAATGCACACGACGAGGGAAATAACAGAATAGTATATTTAGGAGTTATCTGATATATAATAATAATAATAGTTTTATTTATTAAGTCGATAAAATAAGAGCTAAAAATACTAATAGAGGACTCACACACTGGTTTATAATAATCAATATAAAAACATAAAAGTCGATATAAAAAAACATAAAGGTCATAACGTTGTTTAAAACATAAACAAGCCAATATACAAATAACCAACAAATAATAATTTAGACATCACACACGGAAGATAAACCAGGAACAGACTGTGAGCCTGACCTCCTGTGGTAGTCTAATCCAGACTGTAGGGGTACTGACAGCAGAGGCTCTGTCCCTTTTGCTTTATAGCCTAGACCTTGGAATAGTTATCTGTGCCCCACCAGAGGATCTCAGTCTGCATCCCGGCTCACAGAGGGATAAAAGCTCAGAGATGTATGAAGGTGCCAGCTAATGTCTGGCCCTAAAAGTGATCAGAAAATTAACCCTAAAAGAAACAGGCAGCCAGAGCAGCAGGGGCTGCAGCAGCTCAACAAAGTCAAGGGGCTGCTGCAGTACAACAAAGTCAAGGGGCTGCAGCGGCTTAACAGAGTCAGTGCGCTGCTGCAGCTAAACAAAGTCAGTGCGCTGCTGCAGCTAAACAGTCAATGGGCTGCTGCCGCTCAGCAGAGTCAGTGGGCTACTGCAGCTAAACAGTCAGTGCGCTGCTGCAGCTCAGAGTCAGAAAGGTTGCAGCAGCTCAACAAAGTCAAGCTCAGTAGAGTCAAGGGGCTGCTGCAGCTTAACAGAGTCAGTGCGTTGCTGCAGCTCAACAAAATCAAGGGACTGCTGCAGTACAACAAAGTCAAGGGGCTGCAGCTCAGCAGAGTCAGTGGGCTGCTGCAGCTCAACAAAGTCAAGGTGCTGCTACAGCTCAGTAGAGTCAGTGGGCTGCTGCAGCTCAACAAAGTCAAGGGGCTGCTGCAGCTCAGGGGCTGCTTCAGCTCAGCAGAGTCAGGGGGCTGCTGAAGCTGCTGAAGCTCAGCAGAGTCAGTGCGCTGCTGCAGCTAAACAGTCAGTGGGCTGCTGCAGCTCAGCAGAATCAGTGGGCTGCTGCAGCTCAACAAAGTCAAGGTGCTGCTGCAGCTCAGTAGAGTCAGTGGGCTGCTGCAGCTCAACAAAGTCAAGGGGCTGCTGCAGCTCAGGGGCTGCTTCAGCTCAGCAGAGTCAGGGGGCTGCTGAAGCTGCTGAAGCTCAGCAGAGTCAGTGCGCTGCTGCAGCTAAACAGTCAGTGGGCTGCTGCAGCTCAGCAGAGTCAGGAGTCTCAGTAGATTTTAACAGTAGAGATGAAGGTGGAGAGTAAATGTCAAACTGCAAATTCACATCAGATATCAGCAGCTCTGCTGAAGCAGCTTCATGTCTCATAAATTAACATCCAGGGAATAAAAGTGTTCAGTTCAGTACAAGTTCAAGGGGCTGCTGCAGCTTAACAGAGTCAGTGCGCTGCTGCAGCTCAACAGAGTCAGAAAGGTTGCAGCAGCTCAACAAAGTCAAGGGACTGCTGCAGTACAACAAAGTCAAGGGGCTGCTGCAGCTTAGCAGAGTCAGTGGGCTGCTGCAGCTCAACAAAGTCAAGGGGCTGCTACAGCTCAGCAGAGTCACTGGGCTGCTGCAGCTCAACAAAGTCAAGGGGCTGCTGCAGCTCAGTAGAGTCAGTGGGATGCTGCAGCTCAACAAAGTCAGTGGGATGCTGCAGCTCAACAAAGTCAAGGGGCTGCTGCAGCTCAGTAGAGTCAGTGGGATGCTGCAGCTCAACAAAGTCAAGGGGCTGCTGCAGCTCAGTAGAGTCAGTGGGATGCTGCAGCTCAACAAAGTCAGTGGGATGCTGCAGCTCAACAAAGTCAAGGGGCTGCTGCAGCTCAGCAGAGTCAGGGGGCTGCTGAAGCTCAGCAGAGTCAGGAGTCTCAGTAGATTTTAACAGTAGAGACGAAGGTGGAGAGTAAATGCAAACTGCAAATTCACATCAGATGTCAGCAGCTCTGCTGAAGCAGCTTCATGTCTCATAAATTAACATCCAGGGAATAAAAGTGTTCAGTTCAGTACACGCAGTAGTAGTACACACACAATACACACAGTACACACAATACAAACACAGTAGGCACAGTACACACACACAGTACACACTATACACAACACACACAGACAAATAATGAGAGTGGAACGTAGTAGAACCACCTGAAATGAAAACATTGACAGAACTAAAGGTTTTTAACACAAATACAGAAACGCGTCTGTGAACGCTGACTGTACAGGATACAAACCACATAAACATAAAAATACATGCACATTTTGGGCGTTCATGTGTGAGTATGCACGGTCACACAAGCACACATACACACACCTCTTATTTTGTGTTGTTGTTTCTGGTCTCTGTTTTATCTCAGTCTGAACTGTATCTTAGTGCATGTACTGGATTTAATTGTTTGTATTTTAATATATATATATATATATATATATATATATATATATATATATATATATAATATTTTAAACTCAACACTTTAAAAGCCTCACCAGGACACACACACGTGTCAAAGAAACCTGAACACACAGCATCTACTTTGTAAACTTTCTGTCATTTGTACCTGTCGAAAAAACAAGACAACAACAAAATAAAAAATAAATAAAACAAATGGACACACAATACACACATGATACACACACAGTACACATATAATACACACACAGTACACACATAATACAAACACAGTACACACACAATACACACACAATACACACTCAATACACACTCAATACACACACAATACACAGTGAGTGCTGATGTAAACAGTCTGTGGTCTCGTCAGGTTAATGAGTCCTGACGAGCTGCTCAGTTTAATCCTCCTTCCTCTGTTCCACCGACCAATCAGAGCTGCTGATGTCATCCTCTCCCCTCCCCCACCCTGTGTGTGTGTGTTCAACCTCTTTGTGTCAGCTCGGTTGCCGAGGCAGCAGCAGTGTGAGGACGGAGGTCGCATGAAGCGTCGCTGCGTTCCTCTGAGAGCCGACCACAACCTGCTGACCCCCGACACACACACACAGTGAGTACCACACCGTATACACAGTACACACAGTACACACAGTGAGTACCACACCGTATACACAGTACACACAGTACACACAGTGAGTACCACACCGTATACACAGTACACACAGTATACACAGTGAGTACCACGCAGTACACGCAGTGAGTACCACACCGTATGCGCAGTACACACAGTAGCCTGCACACTCTCTTCTCCCTGATGTTGAATGTTCGGCGAGACGTTCATTGTCTCCGTGTTTTATTGGTTCTCCTGATGTTTAAAATGTGTGTTGGAGAGCTGGAGGTTCTTCGGTTTCTTGTAGAGTTTGTTGCTGTAAATGTTCTCCTTCCCGGCGGAGCCTGTGATTTCCGTCGCGCTCCGTCATGTGTTGTCACACTCTACGAGCCTCATTAAATTAGTTCGCCCCTGCACAGTTTTAGCTGCACAAGTAGAGCCAATAACAGCCTGTCATATCTTCCTGCACCTGATGCTTCGTGATGACTGCACGCCTCAGTAAGTCCTTCACACTGAACTGATCCCAGTCCTGCTGAACTGGCGCCCTCTAACTGTGGTCTGTTCACAGGTCGGGGGTCAGGCTGCATCCTGTTGCCCAGGTGAGGTCGGAGGGCGTGGCCTCAGGACACCTGAGTGACTTGTCCAGCAGCGAATCAGCTGTCGGCGAGGCGAGGCGACGGCCCCCTGTAGCGTCTCCAACTCGCCGTCTGCGATTTGAGGATGAGACAGAGACGGAGGCGGAGTCCCGTTACCTGGAGCGGCAGAGGAGACGGGGGGGTCAGCGAGGGACAGGTGTCCTGGTCTCCAAACCAGACCTGAACCTGTACGTCAAGGCCAGGGCGGAGGCGGGGCATGTTGCTGACAGACAGCAGAGAGGACGGACGCCGGCAGGGGGGCAGTGTGACTTATGTGGGACAGTTTTAGGAGGTGGAGTCAACCTGAACCTCCGTTTACACCCACATGTACCTGAAAATAGGGGGCGGAGACTGTACAGGACTGAGCCAATCAGAGAGACCTACATTGGCTGTGTCAGACCTGGTGAGACCAGCGGGGGAGGGAGCGGCGCTGGCCAGGTGATGATGGGGCCCAATCAGGTGGAACTTAATGGAAACCAGGTGACCCTGCATAAGGCCACGCCTACCACAGACCTGCCAATGAACCCCTACGCCCCTGACCAAACAACCACGCCAGCTCAGCCCTCCTCCTCCTCATCTTCTCCTCATGTGACATCACTGATGATGTCACAGAGCGTCAGGCTCAACTGCACAAAATCAGGGCAGAACCAGAACCAGGAGGAGCGAGGGAGACCTGCAGCAGCCAAGCCCCACAGAGAGCTACGATCGGGGCCAGAGCTGAAGGAGAGGAGCCCCTGTGTGAAGGATGGAGGTCTGGATCTCAGGATGAAGAGCCCCTCCACCTCGTCCTCGTCCTCCTCAGGAAGGAGCTCAAAGACTACAGGTGAGGACATTGACCCACAGTCAGATAAAGCAGGGCTCCAGTCTGCAGGTGCTACCTCACAGAGTGCTGATGGGGGGCGTAGTAGAGTCGGCGAGCAGGGGAGGAGCCACAGTGTAAAGTCTGTTGCTGCCCGACGTCCACCTCACCTGTGTGGATCCTTCTTCTTCACCTCAGAGCTGCAGAGGAGGGCTTCTCTTTTCAGTCCTGTTTGTTTCATCAGACTCGGTCTGAAGTGTAATAAACACATGTTAAATGCACGTCATCCGGGCAAACTGTCGTCATGACAACAAGTACTGAAAAACTTTACTGAGTGTGCGTCAGCTGACCTCACTAACACTTCCTGTGTTCGGTATTTCAGGTTACATGACACATATCTGTAAACACACTTACATCTCTACCTGTGATTGGTTTACAGCCGAGAGCCAAGCCCCTCCCACCACAGACAGCAACAGCGATGGACAGGTCAGACAGCCAATGACAGCCGACCTTGACAGTGAGGACACGTCACTTCCTGAACAGTGAGTTTAAACCCAAACTGTGTGTGTAACGCCACCTGCTGGACGTCTTATTCCAACACTAAACACTTTGCACGTAGACTGATGAGTCAAACTAAACAAATGTCCAGAGGCAGAGGAGCGCCACGCTCAGGGAGTGGGTGGAGACCAGGGCCCGATCAGACCAGGGCTCTGCGGCAGGAAGCCCCAAAGACCAGCACAGGAGTTGGTTGGACTGGATGAAGAGCAACAGGGAGCCAGTTTAGAGAACAGAGAACACACGTGATTTCACAAGTTATTCCAGTGTGTGAACTGCTTTCTGTGCCACATTTACATTCCTGAACGGTTGCAAACTGTTTCATCACAGACCAGGATCGAACATTTCTGACCAACAAGCAGCGCAGCGCTTTGCTTGGGTAACTCATGAAACATGAAAATCCTGGATTTACCTGGATAAACAAGATTCTTGTTTATGTGCATCTATTGATAAAAAATAATACATACATGTAATGAATGTGACTGACAAACAAACTTTATTAACTTTATACACCTGATGCACACTGATAGTCAGAATGAGTTCTGATTTAATCATCTCCGTTTCCTTCAGCTTCATAAGCAGAGACGATTCCTCTCGTCTTTCTCTGCGACGTCTTCTCTCCACCGTCAGACTGAGCAGGACTCGAACCGGCAGCCTCGACCGCCTAAGTTCACGACCCCGCTCCTCATCATCTGGCTCCGCCCACTCTGATCCCCCACCCTCTTGTCCCAAGAAGTCCTCTGGCCTCCTGAAGAAAACACCCTCTGTTCAGTCGCTCAGTGTGGTGAGGAGATTCATTACTATATTTTTATAATCGCCTGCCTGAGTTTTTGACATTACCTGTGTGTTTCCTGTCTGTCCAGCAGGGGTCGCCCTTCTTCTTCTTTGACCTTTGTCTTTCCTGTCTGTCCAGCAGGGGTCGCCCTTCTTCTTCTTTGACCTGTGTGTTTCCTGTCTGTCCAGCAGGGGTCGCCCTTCTTCTTCTTTGACCTTTGTCTTTCCTGTCTGTCCAGCAGGGGTCGCCCTTCTTCTTCTTTGACCTTTGTCTTTCCTGTCTGTCCAGCAGGGGTCGCCCTTCTTCTTCTTTGACCTGTGTCTTTCCCGTCTGTCCAACAGGGGTCGCCCTCCTTCTTCTTTGACCTGTGTGTTTCCTGTCTGTCCAGCAGGGGTCGCCCTTCTTCTTCTTTGACCTTTGTCTTTCCTGTCTGTCCAGCAGGGGTCGCCCTTCTTCTTCTTTGACCTTTGTCTTTCCTGTCTGTCCAGCAGGGGTCGCCCTTCTTCTTCTTTGACCTGTGTCTTTCCCGTCTGTCCAACAGGGGTCGCCCTCCTTCTTCTTTGACCTTTGTCTTTCCCGTCTGTCCAACAGGGGTCGCCCTCCTTCTTCTTTGACCTGTGTGTTTCCTGTCTGTCCAGCAAGGGTCGCCCTCCTTCTTCTTTGACCTGTGTGTTTCCCGTCTGTCCAGCAGGGGTCGCCCTCCTTCTTCTTTGACCTTTGTCTTTCCTGTCTGTCCAACAGGGGTCGCCCTCCTTCTTCTTTGACCTGTGTGTTTCCTGTCTGTCCAGCAAGGGTCGCCCTCCTTCTTCTTTGACCTGTGTGTTTCCCGTCTGTCCAGCAGGGGTCGCCCTCCTTCTTCTTTGACCTGTGTGTTTCCCGTCTGTCCAGCAGGGGTCGCCCTCCTTCTTCTTTGACCTGTGTGTTTCCCGTCTGTCCAGCAGGGGTCGCCCTCCTTCTTCTTTGACCTGTGTCTTTCCTGTCTGTCCAGCAGGGGTCGCCCTCCTTCTTCTTTGACCTGTGTCTTTCCTGTCTGTCCAGCAGGGGTCGCCCTCCTTCTTCTTTGACCTGTGTCTTTCCTGTCTGTCCAGCAGGGGTCGCCCTCCTTCTTCTTTGACCTGTGTGTTTCCCGTCTGTCCAGCAGGGGTCGCCCTCCTTCTTCTTTGACCTGTGTGTTTCCCGTCTGTCCAGCAGGGGTCGCCCTCCTTCTTCTTTGACCTGTGTGTTTCCCGTCTGTCCAGCAGGGGTCGCCCTCCTTCTTCTTTGACCTTTGTCTTTCCTGTCTGTCCAACAGGGGTCGCCCTCCTTCTTCTTTGACCTGTGTGTTTCCTGTCTGTCCAGCAGGGGTCGCCCTCCTTCTTCTTTGACCTGTGTGTTTCCCGTCTGTCCAGCAGGGGTCGCCCTCCTTCTTCTTTGACCTGTGTGTTTCCTGTCTGTCCAGCAGGGGTCGCCCTCCTTCTTCTTTGACCTGTGTGTTTCCTGTCTGTCCAGCAGGGGTCGCCCTTCTTGCAGTTGAGGAAGTCACCATCAGGTCATTCTTTTGGGTCGGAGCAGAAGAAGAAGGACCGCTCTGCTGACTACAGACCAGCTGCTGACCAGTAACACACCAGTTTCTGATTTTAGTCTGTAATAATTAACATCACAGCTCGACTCTGTCTGAACCTCCACACAGCTGCTGCTGCTGAACATTTAGACTCCATGTTTCTGTCAACGACAGATTCTATGAATTCACGGTTTCCACTCTTCGGCTCAAAGGCCGAGGAGACCCTGAATAATTTAAGGCCTGAACACCAAACGTGCGAGGTCCCATGATTAAAAGCGAACAGTGCGTTTTCGTGGAACAGCGTGCCTGTGGCGTGGCGTCCAAAATTGATGATTTACCATAAAACAGGAAGTTATTGTAACTTCAGTCTACATGCTCACATCTGCTCCAAATTTGGAATACACTATAAAAGTCCCGCCCTGAACACATCCACACGCCAATATTCACTCAAAGTCAGAGCGCCACCTGCTGGGAAATGACACATTTTATGTTGTAAAGTATGACTCCTAGCAGGTCGCTGTCAACTGTCCCAGGAAACCCTTAACACATTGATGAGGCCATGCTGTAAAACTTGTGAATTTTTGGTTAACGGCTTGGCAGTGGCGTGGCGGCGAAGTTAAACTCTTCGCCATTACACAGGAAGTGGTCATAACTTCAGTGTACATGCTCACATCTGCACAAGTCTTTACGTGCTTGATAACTGTCCCGCCCCGAACACATCACACATGCCAATATTCATTTGTAGTCGTAGCGCCAAGTGCTTGGAAGCGCCACAGGACATGATGTTTAACCCCTTTGTGCAGCGCCTGAAGCGCGGAGCAAATTCACAGCTGCACCGGCAGAGCTCCAGAATCTGCAACGTAGCCGCCTCACACCCCGACACGCTACAAGTGCGACGCCCCGCTTGCACCTTTAGTTTGACCTGAAGTCCATGGAGGTGTTTACTACTTACACTAACATTGTACTGACTAGTACTACTGATCCTGTCTCTCCCTGTCTGTCTCTCAGGTTCCTGCAGAGGTGTCTCAGTATCGAGGACGTCGGCCGTCCCAGTTCAGTTCGTTCTGTCGGTCGGGTTCTTCAGGTTTGTTCTGACGGAACGTTGTTGTTGGAACTCAGTCGACCGAAGAGCCAAATGTACGGATTCATCATCAGCAGGGGGAGAGGACGAGCTGACTCTGGTACTGCAATACTACTAATACTACTGCAAATACTACTAACACTACTACTGATCATTAGAGGGAGAGGACGAGCTGACTCTGGTACTGCAATACTACTAATACTACTGCAAATACTACTAACACTACTACTGATCATTAGAGGGAGAGGACGAGCTGACTCTGGTACTGCAATACTACTAATACTACTGCAAATACTACTAACACTACTACTGATCATTAGAGGGAGAGGACGAGCTGACTCTGGTACTGCAATACTACTAATACTACTGCAAATACTACTAACACTACTACTGATCATTAGAGGGAGAGGACGAGCTGACTCTGGTACTGCAATACTACTAATACTACTGCAAATACTACTAACACTACTACTGATCATTAGAGGGAGAGGACGAGCTGACTCTGGTACTGCAATACTACTAATACTACTGCAAATACTACTAACACTACTGCAAATACTACTAATACTACTACTGATCATTAGAGGGAGAGGACGAGCTGACTCTGGTACTGCAATACTACTAATACTACTGCAAATACTACTAACACTACTACTGATCATTAGAGGGAGAGGACGAGCTGACTCTGGTACTGCAATACTACTAATACTACTGCAAATACTACTAACACTACTACTGATCATTAGAGGGAGAGGACGAGCTGACTCTGGTACTGCAATACTACTAATACTACTGCAAATACTACTAACACTACTGCAAATACTACTAACACTACTGCAAATACTACTAATACTACTACTGATCATTAGAGGGAGAGGACGAGCTGACTGGTACTGCAATACTACTAATACTACTGCAAATACTACTAACACTACTGCAAATACTACTAACACTACTACTGATCATTAGAGGGGGAGGACGAGCTGACTCTGGTACTGCAATACTACTAATACTACTGCAAATACTACTAATACCTAACAGCCCGAGATGAAACTTTTCAGTGTTTACTCAGCATGTTCTTGTGGTTCATCGATGGTACTAATACTGCATTACCGTGTACTAATACTGCATTACCGTGTACTAATACTGCATTACCCTGTATTAATATCGAATTACTGTGTACTAATACTGCCTTACCGTGTACTAATACTGCCTTACCATGTACTAATACTGCATTATGGTGTACTAATACTGCATTAACGTGTACTAATACTGCATTACGGTGTACTAATACTGCATTACAGTGTATTAATACTGCATTATGGTGTATTAATACTGCATTATGGTGTACTGATACTGCATTACCGTGTAATAATATTGCATTACCGTGTACTAATATTGCATTACCGTGTACTAATACTGCATTACCGTGTACTAATACTGCATTACCGTGTGTATTAACAGTGTAACAACATGTGTACTGCAGGCGTGTACGTGGAGGACATGGTGGACAGCGGCACTGAGAAGTTGTACGCCGGCCTGCTGGTGGTTGGGGATGAGATCCTGGAGGTGAACGGGGAGAAGGTGGTCAGTCTCAGTCTAGACCAGGTGACCCACCTACTGACCCAGAACCCCTCCGCCACTGTCCGGGTGCTCCGACACTGGAGGACCCCCCCAAGGTGACCACAACGCTGCCTGACTGCAACTACAGCCGCCGCTCAGCTCATGTCCATTTAAAAAGCACTTTACACACAACACGGTGGATCCGACGTGCTTCAGAGTCAGGAGCCGCGGTCACAGGGCCCCACCGACACCACAGACCTACAGAGACCTCAGGAGACATACCTGAGCTGGTGAAAGGCTGATGGAGGGAGAATGTTCAGGGGCAGCGATAGAGAAGCTCCCGTAACACTTAGTCCTGGACCTGGGGTCAGACTGAAGTCTCTGATCTCAGTGTGATGTGGAAACAGGACCTGTGGAGACTTATAGAAAAGAAGGTTTGCAGCCATTCTGGATTTGAGGTCCTCAGCAGGGCCGTGAGTACGACGGTGCAACCTGTGCACCGGGGGCCAGCTCATCGTGATCAGACGCCATCATCCATTTATTCACTGGGCTTTTCTTGATCGCTGTTTGTTCCGTGGTTGCTGACAGTCTGTGTTGATTTGTTACCATCCGCAGGCAGATCAGCGCAGGTGAGGGAGGCACAGTTAGACGTTTCACATTTGAAGAGCTCATCGCCGCTTTGACTTCTAACTGCGACACCTTTATATTTACTACACACTGGTTGTGAGGCAGCACGATGTAACAGTCCCAGTTTGTGCTGACTCCCCGGGCCCCTGAGTCAACGGGTGCATTCGAGATGACTGCGGCTGACTTTCGCCGACCTGACTTAAGTGTAATTTATACTGAGTAGCCTCGCAATGCCTCTGAGCCGACAGGAAGTTCCCGTGCTTTGTAGTAAAACGGCGGCTGGATATATTTGACCGTCACAACCCAAGCGAAATGACTCGGTAACATTTGAAAAGGCTACAACAGCCGCACGGGTACAGTTTTACCCCCATGGTGCATCTGTGGAAAAGCTCCCGCGAGGTTTTAATGTCATGTGACATGGTGACGTTTTGCAGCGCGGCCAAAAGTCGGACACAATTTCTACCCAGCATGCCTTATTTTAAGTCCAGCGTGCAACACGTTAAGTCAGTGCCGCATGAAGTCAAACACACCTAATGCAACAGGGGGAACGCCGTCATCACTCAGAGGGCGGCAGTAGACGATGAAGCGGCGGCGGGCAGTGGTGTCGACGGAGACCAGGGGCCATGTGTATGCACAAAAACATATGTAGATCTCTCCGTACGCTCAGCGGGCCAGCGAGTGTCCAACTGTGGTGCGAACTGAAACTTACTTTGTTTAAAGGTGCAGGTGAGCTCAGCGCTGCCTCCTGTGGCTGAGGAACATCAGGTGACTCAGGGGGCAGGAATGAGCTCAATACAGCCGAACACTCCATAACTAACTGGGACACTAGAAGAAGACGTGAGCCGGCTGACCTGCTGACTGAAATTAAAAAGCTTGTTTTATTTTTTCTCCCCCTGCAGAGCTGCTGGCAGGTAAAATAAAGAGAACGCAGTAACGATGTAGTACTGGTGTTTACAGTATTTAAAGAAGCCTCTGCAGTATTTCTGTCATATGTATTTTCATGTTTGCTTATATTTTCTGACAAATAAAAGAAAAAGGATGAAGTGAAGCTTCCTGTTCAATCTTCTTCTGACGGGATGAACGAAATATATAAACCTGCTGTTTGTATTTCTTTCACTTACAGTTGGACCGTACGAGAGCACGACCAAAATACACACCACGAAATACGCTGTAAATAAAATATTAGAAATATTTAACCCTCCATATGTTTATAGGCAGCATATAAACATCTTGTGTCTGTGAGCAGAAGTTATTCAGCTGTGAAAGGTCACTAACAGATCTCTGCCTGTTATTGAGCCTCAGCTGATCCAAACGTCATGAAAACAGGCAGAAAACATGTCAAAGATCAGATTCCGTTTTTATTTTCTGCATCAGTTCATTGAAATAAAATTCACCAGCAGACATAAAACGTTCACTCACACACAAAGTAAATGAATAAAGACAATGTTTTCAATTCACGATTAATAATACAGTTTAAATGGTTTCACTTCTCAAACGAGTTCACTCAGCTGAAATATTTTAATGTTCCAGAGTTCTGGAAGGAAAAGTGCGATGAGAGAACTTCTCTTCTGAATTCACTGAGCTGATGTGTCAGCAAACAGAGTGGATTCATCATCATCATGTCGGTTGAAACATGGATTTCATTTCAACATAAAATAAATGTTCAGTCGACACAGAAACAGTCATTAAGGGTGAAACCTGCAGGATGGACTTCTGAAGAGTTAGTGTTGAAATTCTGTGTTTTTCAGTCAGTTATCAATACTGAGGTTTAGTTTATTAAAACAGTAACAGGAAACATTTTAACACCATCTGCAGACTGAACCTGCGTCTGACTGTGCTTTCAGACCAAAAGCGAAGCGAGCGTTCGGGGCGGGGAGTCTACATACAAAGTCAATGCAAAGACGCATAGAGCTGCGATTTCCTGTCAGGCGGTGCGAAGGGTTGGTGCCGGTGACGTGAAGGCAACGTGAAGGCCGGAGTTGAAAATTTCCAACTCGAGCGAATTTTCGCGGGTTCTAATCGCCTTCTCGTGTTGTGTGTGAACACTTGCAGCTAATGTACTCACGCGAGGAAAGTGGCGTTTGGTCTGAAAGCACCATTACAGCTCACCTGTTATCAAACAGGCAGTTAGCTCGCACGCTAACTTCCTGCTGCTGCTTCACATTAAAAGCCCACCAGAGGTGCACTGGGGAAAGGCTTTTATTGTGAATTGAAGCAGCAGGAAGTGTGTGGTGTGAATAAAATACCGTACAGGAAATAAAATAAAGTAATAAAAGATAAAACATCAGTCGCCTAAAGACACAAATTGTAAACAGAAAAATAACAGAAACAGGAAGTTTTAGTGTTCTTATGTTATTTCATGTGGTTTTTTTATTAACGAGCTCCAGCCTCGTACTGAACCGGAGCTGAACCAGAGCGGTAGAATATGAAGGAAGATTACCCGTACAGCGAGGAACGTCAGAAAGCTGATAACCACTGTGGTGACACCCGTATCCTCTGATTGATACACGGGGAAAAAGGTAGGATTAAACTTAACCTGAAATTAAAACTGGAGTTCAAAGTTTTATTCAAGTGGAGTTAAAGTGTCTAAAAGGAGTCAAACAGAAGTTACTAAACTGGAGTTAAAGTGGTTATAAAGTACAATTAGACTGGAGTTAAACAGGGATTAATCTGGGGTTGAACTGGAGTCGAACGGGGATTAATCTGGAGTCGAACGGGGATTAATCTGGAGTCGAACTGGAGTTGAACAGGGATTGAACGGGGATTGAACTGGAGTCGAACTGGAGTCGAACAGGGATTAATCTGGAGTCGAACGGGGATTAATCTGGAGTCGAACGGGGATTAATCTGGAGTCGAACGGGGATTAATCTGGAGTCGAACTGGAGTTGAACAGGGATTGAACGGGGATTGAACTGGAGTCGAACTGGAGTCAAACTGGAGTCGAACAGGGATTGAACTGGAGTCGAACTGGAGTCGAACTGGAGTTGAACAGGGATTGAACGGGGATTGAACTGGAGTTCAACTGGAGTTGAACTGGAGTTCAACTGGAGTTGAACTGGAGTTCAACTGGAGTTGAACGGGGATTAATCTGAAGTCGAACTGGAGTTGAACAGGGATTGAACGGGGATTGAACTGGAGTCGAACAGGGATTGAACGGGGATTGAACTGGAGTCGAACTGGAGTCGAACAGGGATTGAACTGGAGTCGAACTGGAGTTGAACTGGAGTTGAACGGAGATTGAACTGGAGTTGAACTGGAGTTGAACGGAGATTGAACTGGAGTTGAACGAGGATTGAACTGGAGATAAACAGGAGTCGAACAGGGATTAATCTGGAGTCGAACAGGGATTAATCTAGAGTCGAACGGGAATTAATCTGGAGTTGAGATGTTTTTTTCAGCCCTTTAAAGAAAACATCAAACAATTTTTTCTAAAACATGAACATGTCAAACTTATTTACACCCGGTCTGACCTTTAACCTCTGCGATGATTTTCACATCAGTCCCACTCACAGGGAAGAGAACGTCCAGGAGGGTCCAGGAGAAACCAGAACACAGTGTGGTGCAGTAAAGTCTGTCTGTGATATCAGAGTCCAGGAGAGTCCAGTAACTGGTTTCAGACCTTGTTTCATTTTGATTAGTGAGATGAAAGATGATGGATTTTTGTTTGACACAGGTTAAATAAAACCAGAATGCGACAGACCGATCTGCTGCCAGCTGGAGTTTACCTGCTGTTTCATGTTAAACTTAAATACTGATGCTGTCTGTGGGTTCAGTTTTTCCAGGAGCCCGATTGGCTGATTGTTCCGACTTCTCAGGTGTGTAATTCTATAAATGGAGTGGTTCTCTGATGGAGGTGGGCGTCACCCAGAATTTAATAACATCAAATCCTAGAATGCTTTACTTCCAGTGTCTTATCATCCAACACGTCTTCAGTCCAGCTGGCTCAGGATCAGGACTCTACTGGACTGGTTTTTGCTTTTTGACTTTCTTTCTTTTTTTCTCCAGTCCAGTCTAGTCCTGATAAGCTCAGCAGAGGTCTGTAGGGGTCAGTAGAGTCCAGTAGAGTCCAGTAGACGTGTAGACACAGCATTAAGACGAGTTCTGTGCTGACAGGAAGAGGCCTCAATCAGAGGATGAAGAAGAGGAGGATGACAACGAAGAGGATGGCGAGCAACACGCCGATAGCGCACCACTGACGACGATCTGTTGAAATACACAGTGTTAATAACTGTCAACTAAGTGCAACTAACTACAGCATAGCTAACGGCAACTACTACTAACTACAGCATTACTAACTGCAACTAACTACTGCATAGCTAACGGCAACTACTACTAACTACAGCATTACTAACTGCAACTAACTACTGCATAGCTAACGGCAACTAACTACAGCATAGCTAACGGCAACTAACTACTAACTACAGCATAACTAACTGCAACTAACTACTGCATAGCTAACGGCAACTAACTACAGCATAGCTACCGGCAACTAACTACTAACTACAGCATAACTAACTGCAACTAACTACTGCATAGCTAACGGCAACTAACTACAGCATAGCTAACGGCAACTACTACTAACTACAGCATTACTAACTGCAACTAACTACTGCATAGCTAACGGCAACTAACTACAGCATAGCTAACGGCAACTAACTACTAACTACAGCATTACTAACTGCAACTAACTACTGCATAGCTAACGGCAACTAACTACAGCATTACTAACTGCAACTAACTACTGCATAGCTAACGGCAACTAACTACAGCATAACTAACTGCAACTACTACTAACTACAGCATAACTAACTGCAACTAACTACTGCATAGCTAACGGCAACTAACTACAGCATAACTAACTACAACTAACTACTGCATAACTAACTGCAACTAACTACTGCATAGCTAACGGCAACTAACTACAGCATAGCTAACGGCAACTAACTACTAACTACAGCATTACTAACTGCAACTAACTACTGCATAGCTAACGGCAACTAACTACTAACTACAGCATTACTAACGGCAACTAACTACTAACTACAGCATTACTAACGGCAACTAACTACAGCATAGCTAACGGCAACTAACTACTAACTACAGCATAACTAACTGCAACTAACTACTGCATAGCTAACGGCAACTAACTACAGCATAGCTAACGGCAACTACTACTAACTACAGCATAACTAACTGCAACTAACTACTGCATAGCTAACGGCAACTAACTACTAACTACAGCATAACTAACCGCAACTAACTACAGCATAACTTACCGCAACTAACTACAGCATAGCTAACTGCAACTAACTACTAACTACAGCATAGTTAACCGCAACTAACTACTAACTACAGCATAACTAACCGCAACTAACTACTAACTACAGCATAGTTAACCGCAACTACTACTAACTACAGCATAACTAACCGCAACTAACTACAGCATAACTTACCGCAACTAACTACAGCATAGCTAACGGCAACTAACTACTAACTACAGCATAACTAACCGCAACTACTAACTACAGCATAGCTAACCGCAACTAACTACTAACTACAGCATAGCTAACCGCAACTACTACTAACTACAGCATAGCTAACCGCAACTACTACTAACTACAGCATAACTAACCGCAACTACTAACTACAGCATAGCTAACCGCAACTAACTACTAACTACAGCATAACTAACCGCAACTAACTACTAACTACAGCATAGTTAACCGCAACTACTACTAACTACAGCATAACTAACCGCAACTAACTACTAACTACAGCATAGTTAACCGCAACTACTACTAACTACAGCATAACTAACCGCAACTAACTATTGCATAGCTAACTGCAACTACTACTAACTACTGCATAACTTATCTACAACTAACTATAACCACTTCCAAAAATACAGTGCTAATAACTTTTAACTAACTACAACTTTCACTATCAATAACCCCAACTATTGGTGTTCCTGATGTCTGATCAATACTGATGCCATCAGAGTACTTAGATCTGGTCCAAGAGAAACCTGAACCCGGATCAGTGAAGGACCAACTGGAGTAAACACCTTCAGAGCTAAAAGCTATATATCCCTTAATTATTCTTTTGATTGATTTCGGCGACTCCTCAGCAGAAACACTGAGGGTGACATCACGTGTTGCCGGGCAGAATTACCGCTGGTCATGTGAGACACTTTGGCCAGTTTCTTCATGACGTTGTCCAATCTGGACTGAGTGTTGTCCACCTCGTGAGTGAAGTCGTCCAACATCCTGCAGGAAAAACACAGAACCACTTAACAAGTCTGAGCAGGAAACAACCACAGACCCTCTCTTCCCTCAAAACCCCGACCGCCAGAGGCTCGTCCCCTCAAAACCCCGACCGCCAGAGGCTCGTCCCCTCAAAACCCCGACCGCCAGAGGCTCGTCCCCTCAAAACCCCGACCGCCAGAGGCTCGTCCCCTCAAAGACCCGACCGCCAGAGGCTCGTCCCCTCAAAACCCCGGAGGAGCTGTAAGCGAGGATGCATCAGTGTCTCCTCTGCGGAAGTCTTTTTCAGTCGTGATGTTTAAAACAGCTGGAATATACTAGAGATGCACCGAACGATCGGCCGGTGAGTAAGTTCTTGCCGTGAGTGAAGACGACACAACGCTTGCAGTTTATAATAAGGCAAAATCAGCTGTGTCCCTGCACAGACTTCACTCAGGCGGGTCGCCGAGGTACTTTAAGGGTCGCGTCAGCATATTTGTCAGAGAAACACAGAGACATTATGAGGTTAGCAGACGGGGGAGAACTGTTTAGAACTAAAATGCTGAACCTACTAGAAACAGGGTCATGTAGTCTTTCAAAAATGATCAAATAAATTATACATATAGAGGCGAACAGCAGAACAGCCTTTGTTTTCACAAGTTTTTTATGCCGTTTCATCACAAAATGCATTTTTGAGCGGTTTTGAGGCTTAAAGTCAACTGAGTAGAACTTGAATATTGGCAGTTTTACCAAAGTTGATGGTGAATCAAACATTTTCGGGGTCGAGAAGCTCCACAAGCGCCACGAGGTACGCAGTGCCGGCCGGTGCCAGTCCCGCCCACAGAGCACCCTGGTCCCAGTTACTCAGACCAGTGCAGCAGCAACAACAGAGGAAAGGCAGTTTTTCCTATTTTTGTGGCGGCCAGCCACAAAAATAGGAAATAAAATAGTCATTAGTTGCAGCGCTGAAGGCTACACCAGCCGCACGTATACAATTTTACCCCCATTCACGATAGTGGAGGGCTAAACCTGAAGTTAGCCTGCTCGGCCGGCAAAAGTCAACACAGTGGATGCTGTAGCGCTGCTGCTGACTAGCGTTTGGGGGTGACGGAGACACCAACGCACAAGTATAAATGCTACGCGTGTAGCCCCGACGCAGGAGTATAAATGGGCCATAAGTCAGTTGTTGGAGACACATTTTAAACATCGAGGGTTCTCTGTGATCATCGCTCTAAAGGGTGGTGAAAGTTCTTACACAGACTGTTCGTCCAGCTCCATGCCGATCCTCTCCGACATGTTCTTCAGGACTCCGATTGTTCCTGACACGAGCTCCAGCTGTTCATCTTGCTGCTCCACTATCAGCTGATACAAACATTCACGTTATTTCAATACATTCTTCTTTTGCTTGACATTCTTAGACCACCACACTGATACTGCACCATATCTCAGTGTTGCCGTACCTGCTGCTGGCCCTGCTGCTCCTCTATAAACTGAGTGTTGGCCTTCTGCAGTTGCTGATCCAGTCGGACGTATTTATCAGGCTGCCAGATCGGACCTTGAGCACCACGCTCGCCGAGCAGAGCCTGCACATCACAACAACACAAACACGCACTATCAGACACTTTACATCAGCAGCAGCTCCGTGTCCACACATGAACCTACCCTAGCCGTACTGTACAGAGGGCACGCGCATGACGTCACAGAACGCGGTTACGCTCACTGAGTGGCAGAAAGACGAGCAGCAGTGTTAGCTTGAATCAGCAAAAACACAAACAACACATCTAAAATGGGAAAGAGCTGCTGGTTCTTTGGTAAGCAGTGAGGATCGCTGTCGAGTCCGACTGCCTTTAATTTGAGCAAATAATCACTCCTGGTTTGCTAAATGCAGCCATGGTAACAGATGTTCTCCACTCAGTCCAGCCTGTTCCAGAAGGGGAAGTGACATCAATGCATACCCTCTATACCCTCCAGGGGCCTCCAGGGACCTCGCTTACGCTTACCCTAACCTTCAGGGACCTAGCAAACCTTCATCCTACAGGGGTCTCCAGGTGGTGGAAACTGGTGGACTTTGAAGGGTTTCAAACTTGGGGGGCTTTGAAGTGGGATTTCTTGTTTCATTAGGGGTCCCTTAAAGACTTCAAGGATTTCAGAGATGACCACGGACCTCTGAAGAGGTATCAGCAGTGTCTCGGGAAGTTTCAGGATCTTTGAAGGAGTTTTAAATTAAGGGATCTTTCAAGGGTCCTAATAGATCTCAGAAAAAGGGTTTCCAAAGGCTTTTTAAAATTCTAGCACAGTGTCCCTGAGCCTGGGGGCCCGTTGTCTCCTCTCCTCGCCTGGGCCCTCTTCGGCAGGGGTGGGGCTCCAGCTGCTTCCCCCTGCCAGCTCTCTCACAGTGGGGGCATTCGGGAGTCTCTGGGGTGCATGGCCGGTGTTGTCGGGGTAGGTTTTGGTGCTCCTCAATGGGGGCGCTTGACTGGGGGGGCCTGGGCCCCCGTCTGGGGATGAGATCGGCCTCGGGGGCTGCTGGCACTGCCTGCACTCTGGGGAGGGATGCCTCTGGCTGGGCTGGGGGACCGTTGGCCTGGTTCTCCCGCGTTATCGCTCCCTGGCGGCGGGGAGCTGTCCTTCCTTGGGGCGGCGGGGAGCTGTCCTTCCTTGGAGCGGGGTACAGCTTCCCCCGGGACATGCGGTCTGGGGTCCTTTGCGCTTTGGGGTGTCGTGGGGTGCCCTGGCTTCTGGGGGTGGGGGTCTCTGCGCGGGTTGATCCGGTTTGTTTGTTTTTGTTTGTTTGTTGTTGTTTTTCTCCTCCCCAAGCCAGGGAAGGGGGAACACAGAAAGCAACGAAACCTGCAAGAGAACAGAGCTCTGTTCTCTTGCAGGTTTCGTTGCTTTCTGCACTTGGTGTTTCCCTCTGCTTTTCCCTGTTGTCCCCACCTTCCACCCCCCTTCTCTTACAGGCCTTTCTCTGTGCTGTCTGTTTGTGCCCCCCCATCCCCGTGTCTGCCCCCCTGTCCGGACCGCTGACAAATCAATACATAATTAAATAAATAATAAAACAGACAAAGGAGTATTTTAATCCTCTCTTGTTAAAGTAAAATCTGTCTGGCACAATATGGTGTCCAGCTCATCACACTCTCTACCAGGCTGCTGGGCAGGACAGGTTAAAAAATTTAATTAAATTCTAGCACAGTCACACAGCTGTAGTCGGGTAGGTCACCTGGTGATGTGTACTTCAGGTGTGTGCATATACCTGTTTGTTCTTTCTGTCCACTGAGGCAGCAGCTGGAATCGACATCTGATCTTTCATTTCCTTTAAGAGAAGAAAAGTCAGTCAGCACCAAATCGGATGGACCAATTCTTCAGATCCACATCAAACCGGCCCGTAGCAGCTCCATAATAAACAATAAGAAGAGTATTTTTAAACACATAAACCTACAGATATAAAACAAACAGTGACCACGAGTACGATTAAATAAAGAAGCTGCTGTCTGTGGACTGAAGACAGGTGACTGATGGCGTTAGAGGACCTTGACAGTCTGTCTGGTGCTGGTGATGAAGGCTTTCCTTTTCGACAGCTCGGCCGCGTCCAGGTTGAACTTCTTTGGGTTGGACTCAACGATGCGTTCACAGACAGTTAAGAAACACGTTTGTCTTTAAGTGTTCACACTTCCAAAGCACACATCACAGCTGAGACGCAGCTCTTTAAAGGATATTGATGGTCTCGTCGAGGTCCTCCAGGTCCCACTCGATGGAACGCAGGCTGTTCCTCAGCTCATTGGTCGTCCAGTCCATTTCCTCCTTGGAGGCTCCGCCCCCCTCCTGTAGCAGCTCGCACCATCTGTGATGGAGGCTCTGAGCTGCGTTCACTGCCTTCTGTACCTCTCTGTTAACAAACAAACATAAAACATAAGCTGTGGTTATCCAGTACGGTCTGGACCACGGGGTTGGGTCAGACTCCAGGTTTGCCGGTCTGGTCTTAAGTATGAACTCTGAGAGTAGTTTGTCATTATGAGATGTTCTGGTCTGAGCCCAGAAGTCAACTCTTTAATTATGTTCTGCAGCTGCTCAGAAATGTAACCGCCCCCTCGCTGACGGTTCAAACTACAACTCAGCACAAACTGGAAAACAACCGTTTCTATCTAAAGCTATCAAACGTCTTCAAATAGGTCTCCTCCTCTCACGGAATGACCTCCTAGATCCACATCAGGCTGGTTTTAAGAGTGGCCGCTCTACTGAAACCCTGAGCCCTAAGGTCAACAAGAGCTGCAGCCCGGTCCTCGGTTCTTATCCTGCTCGACCTATCAGCATCAGCCCAAAAGGACTCATGTCCCTCCATTGGCTCCCCGGGGCCTCCAGAATCTAATCAGAGTCCCTGATGCTGCATACAGAGCAACTCCTGGGTCTGCACCATCTACCTGAACTCCACAATCCAAGCCCACGTTCCTTCTCGGCCGCTACGCTCCTCCAACGAACGCCGCCTGGCTCTGCCATCCCGTCACACAAAGCGACCTCAGTCCCTGTTCTCATCTGTGACGAGCTACCGCACGCCATCAGAGCAGGGGCGTCCCTCTCTGACTTCAAGAAGCTCCTGAAAACTCTGCAGAGAACACTTCCTCTGATAACACCTCTGACATCACTTCCTGCGCTCTTCTTCTTCTGCCTCCTAACAGGACTCCTATTCGTTAACTCTTACTTCTTCCTCCAGGCGTTCACCCCACTGATGCCGCACATCACATCACATGAGTAACCGTAGCAACAGAAGCGTCCATGCTGTGAAAACTCCTCAGTCCAGCACTGCATGATGGGTACCGCTGCCTCCATGTTCCTGCTCGACAGCCGCGGCTACAGTTACTATTGTTATTATTAATTATATCAACATTTGTGTCATTAGTACTATTATTCATCTCACTGACGTCTGAACTGTGATATTACTCATCACTGCACATGGAGGGCTGGAGACACAAACACCAACATGAAAACACACTTTACTGACTCACAAACATGCGAGTCTGAATTTCTGCTGAAAGACACAGAATAAACCTTTAAATCAGTTTCACATATCAAGTTTTGTACCCTGAACCAGAAGAGCGTTAAACTCACAGTCAAGTTAATGACGTCACTCCTGCGTTAGTGTGTAAATGTGTGTACATTGTTAGTATGTGTGTACTATGTGTAGTTTGTGAGGAAAAACACTGAGGACAACAAAGAATGAATCTGCTTCACAACTAGAGAAAACTATTAATAATTAATTAAAGATCTGCTGGTTTCTGAGTTCTTCCAGCTGCACACACATTTGATCTCTTATTATCTTCACTTTTCACCATATTTTAATATTTAGATTCATTCAGGGACAGAAAACGCTGCAGTTTGCTTTAACATGACAGCAACATGCTAACGCCACCAGGCTAACACCACCATGCTAACACCACAGCAACATGACAGCAACATGCTAACGCCACCAGGCTAACACCACAGCAACATGCTAACACCACAGCAACATGACAGCAACATGCTAACACCACACCAACATGCTAACACCACAGCAACATGACAGCAACATGCTAACACCACAGCAACATGACAGCAACATGCTAACACCACAGCAACATGACAGCAACATGCTAACGCCACAGCAACATGACAGCAACATGCTAACACCACAGCAACATGACAGCAACATGCTAACGCCACAGCAACATGACAGCAACATGCTAACACCACACCAACATGCTAACACCACAGCAACATGACAGCAACATGCTAACACCACAGCAACATGCTAACGCCACCAGGCTAACACCACAGCAACATGACAGCAACATGCTAACGCCACCAGGCTAACACCACCATGCTAACACCACAGTAACATGCTAACACCACCAGGCTAACACCACAGCAACATGCTAACGCGACCAGGCTAACACCATCATGCTAACACCACAGCAACATGCTAACGCCACCAGGCTAACACCATCATGCTAACACCACAGTAACATGCTAACGCCACCAGGCTAACACCACAGCAACATGCTAACGCCACCAGGCTAACACCATCATGCTAACACCACAGCAACAGGCTAACACCACAGCAACATGCTAACGCCACCAGGCTAACGCCACCAGGCTAACACCACAGCAACATGCTAACAAAACACTGGCCGCTAACGTTAGCATAGCCGTCTGTAGCCTCCGTGGCTACATTCATCACTGACTAGCTTAGCGATCAGCTCTGCGCAGGCTAACACTAGCCTGTTAGCATTAGCTCGATGTAAAGAGTTCTGACCCCTTGACGACGAAGAACGGGTCTTCCATAGACATGTTGCTGCTGGTTCCGACTCAGTCGCAGCGGCGCTCCATCACACGGACTGTCGGCTGAACGGGACCGGGTTCACCTCGGCTCTGATCAGACCTCCATCAGACCCGCTGCTGCTGCCGCTGCTGCCGCTGAACTGCTTTGTTTACAAGCGGCGGCGGCTTCCGCAGCGGAAACGACCCCGTGACGTCACACACACGTTGGTTCCTCTGTCCCCGCGAGGACGCCTCAATGACGTAACGTTACAACAGGTATTAAAGTCAGAAGGTTTTAAGAGGTGCGCTCGAGCTGACTGCAGCTGACATGAGAGGCGATTTAATTTCTTTGCAAATGCCGCGAGATCAGTCGGTGATCTCAGCTCACAATGAACGTGTCCCACTTGTCTTTTTATTCCCCGACCCTGAATCTGTTGAGAAGTTTTCCAGCTGGAATGACTGTGACATATTATTCAAACACAGATCTATATTTTTCCACAGTTGCTTTAACAATAATATTCTTTTTCTAATGAACCATTCTGAACGCTTGTCTTTCTAAAACGTCCCTGCTGTTGTAACGCAAGGCGGGAGGATGTTATTAAAGGGGAACCAAAGGCGTCACTGTGTTGAGAAGTGTGGGGGGGGGGGGGCATTTAGGGGCTCATGTTAGGCCGAAACAGTTGGGCCACGAGACGTGATAATGGAGTCCCAGAACAAGACAACAAGATACTCCAATGCTATTTAGTATTAAGTATTCATTGATGAAAAAGGTTACTTGATGGGGGGGGCTCCTCCCCCAGAGGATTTTGAGCATTAAACTCTTAATTTCCTGCATTCTAGAGACATTTCTATTTATTTATGGTGGAAATGTCTTTATTTATGTGAAGGGAAACAAATTCAGGTCGCCGGTGACAGTTCAGAATATAGAAATGTTATTGAATACAGTGCAGAAATCAGCAGCTTGTTTTTTAGCCTAAGTTACTTTTTTGGACAATGCAGATCTGTTTATTCTATATTTACATGAACATTTTATTCATCCATTCATTGTGTGCAAGTAAAACTTTCTCATAGAATTGTTATTTGTTATTTAACATTTCTTGTCGTGAGCTAATTTGCAGAAAACTTTTAGCAAATGCTTTCAAAAAGAGGTGAAGACAAAATCAACCATTTAAAAAAGTGGTGGGAACGCGTCCCCAGCGTCCCCAGCGTCCCCAGCGTCCCCATTGTAAATGACACCTGTGCTTCTCTCTACCTGTCTGTTGTGGTTAAATGGCCCCATGAAGAGAAGACGTTTGGACCATCAGGACACTTGATCACAAACAAACCTCGAGATGTTTCAGACTTGTCCGTCGGTGTGACCCAGAGAGAGACATCACCTTTCTGATGGTGAAACAACCGTTCACTTGTGTTATTCAGGGCTTCAGCCCAAAATATACCTGCTGGAACCTTTCTGTCCGTTTTTCACTGCTGTTCAAAGATGTGCTGTTTTTATGGTCTGCAGTTTAGAACATAAATCACATTTTTATGTTTTTTGTTTTTGTTTTTATGTTTTTATGAATGGAAATAAATGCAAACTATTCAGACTCTTCAGAGCCCAAAGCCTTAAAGACTCGTGATACAGGTAAATTTATTAGAAGCCTGAACTGATTAAATGTTTTATTCTTTATTTATAGTTTTCCTCTTAAAGAGGTGGATATTTGTACTGGAGTTGCAATAAAGACAGATGCATCCCCAGCTGAACCTTCCACAGTCTCCTGCTGCTCTGTTTACTGAAACCTGAAGAGGGAGAATATCTGGACTCTGGCTCTGCAGCAGATTCTGGAAAGATTCAACATTTTATTGGGAACATCGACTCTGAATTCTGTCTTTGATGGAAAATTAACTGTTTGGCTTTAAACAGAAAACAGAACGAATTAATCCCAATCAAGCTTTTGATGATTCCTGGAGAGTCAAATTTAGTCTTCACTCTAAACCTTACTTAGTGAAAAGGAAACAGAGCAGCACATTAATAACATCTCAGATCAGACAGCGTCTCGAGCCCCCACGGTGACCCCAGTCCCCACCGGGAGGCCCGAGTCACACATAACCAAGGCGGAGTTCAAGAACGAGACGCCGATCGATAAGCTGGAACCCTCATCTGTTGACGTAGTAAAATAAAAGAACCCACAGAGAGCGCGATCGACTGCGAGACAGCTGATTTATTGGCTCCTTAACATCGACAAGTTATGGACTTACATTAATAATGAAACTGTGGTTTAGGAGGTAGAGCGGGCTGCCCGTAAATCAAAAGAGCGGCGGTTCAATCCCCGGCTCCTCCAGGCTGCGTGTCGAAGTGTCCTTGGGTAAAACCCTGCACCCCCTGCTGGCTGTGAATGTATGTGATGTGTGTAAAAAGTGCTTTGAGTGGTTTTAGAAAAGCTCTCTAACAGAGCATTTCCAAGATGACCGGCGGCGCAACGACAAATCAAAAGCTAAAGGACCGAGAACAAGGACAGCTGCTGCGGAGACGGTTATATATTTAAACCTACGGTGAGTCGGCTGTCAGAGCTGAGCGGACTGTGTTGAAATCTTTGACCTTTATTTCTCGATTCCAAAATGTTTTGTAATGGAGAAACAAACAGCCACAGATTTCAGATCAGCCTTCATTTCCTCTGAAGAAGCCAACAAAACTTCAGCTGACAGACGACACAGTTACTTTCTCCAGTTTAACCTGCTTCCTGTCTGCTCCTCGCGGCAGACAGGAAGTTGAATCACTGTCTGATGACACTTTCTCAGACTTTAATCTGCTGCTGAAAGACGTCCACAGCTCTGTGGGAGGGTTCACTCAGGCCGTGGTTGTTTTATTGTAAGTTTCCTTTGATTCTGATATTCTTTTAAACGCCTTTGTTGACTCCCTCTGGGGGCCACAGCTGCGGCCTCTACGCCGTAGTGCAGGACGCTGGAGCACTTTTAATTTCACACGAACACCTGAAAACAAACAGGGCATTAAAACCGCAGCTCTAACTGAGCCTTCTGGGCTGGAGACCAGACGAGAGTCTGTAACCAACACAGCTCTACTTCGCATGAGATGAAAAATGGCTCCGTTTTTAAAACCTGGTTACCAACGTAATTTACAGAAGCAACAGGAACTGAGAAGAAGGTGATCTGCTGCCGTTCTCTTTGCTTCTTGTGGCTGCAGCGTCTCCCAGTTTGTTATCAGCCCACCGCGTCTCGTCTGCTGTCTCTATAAATAACACGTCCTCTCTCCGCGTCGTCCCGCTCGGGCTGCATGTTTTTCATCTGTCTGGCATTTGTGTGAAACAGCAGAGTCTCCGCAGCTTCACAAATACATTTCCAAAATGGCGAGTTGATGTGCAGATGATGACACACGAGTTGTGAAGCAGAGGCACAGAAACATCAGCTGCAGCGAGGAGGCAGCCATCTTGGCTGCAGATCAGAAGGTGCTGATGTAATCTAACAAACACACGGCGCTCCTCCAGATGAGACGTGAAGCACAGGAGAGTCTATGATATCACAAGCTGCACCGAGACCAGAACTGAAGCCCTGAATCAAGCAGACGATCGTTCACTACTGCAGCGCAGCTGGAGCCACAAGGTGTCTCAGATCAGTTTTATCTAAACTCTACCAGCGGAGATCCCCCACCAGGGAACACAGACCCGGGCCCGGGTCTTCCTTCCTCTTCTGACGTGAAGCGTTTGCTTCTGTTGTATTTCTATGGAGGGACGAGGGCCCAGACGGGTCAGGGGCCCCGGAGCCTCTGACTGAAGGGTTCTTGTATGAAAGTCAACGTTGCAGAAGTGAAATCAAACGGTCAAACCTCAGTTTAAGAACTGAGACGGAAGCAGGACCCAAATCTACCCTGGAGGAGCAGGAGCGCCGCTCCGCCCGGCAAATCCACCCTCAGAGTCACAGTAACCTAAACTGATGAATGTGTGACTGCAGCGTTCACAGGCGGCAACGCCATTGTTCTGCGTAGAACAATAACACTGAGAACAGAAGCTGTTCTCTGCTGCAGCTCCGGTTTCAGGGGATTCTGCTGCTTAACAGCATTAATGTTACTTTATCAAATGTGTTTTACTGGTGTAAGTGAGGGATTGTAAAAGACATTTGGTGTTTGACACCTCAGATGATCATCTGCTCCTGAACCCCCCTCAGCACCGCCACAGTGCTGTTGAAGCTTCCTGTGTCCTGCAGGTGGTCCTGGTCCAGATAGCTAACCAGCTCTGACCCTGATCCACCTGCAGCCAAGGTGACCCAGAGGATGGTGCTGATCACTACGTCTGTCTGGTGTTCTCAGGGGCTGATGGGCTGGATGGTGGATCTCTTTGTCTTGGTTCCTCCGTTGGTCAGTTCTCAGGTTTTGGACCGTCTTTGGTTCAGTGGCCGAATGCGGCACCTTCTGCTGCGTCTGCACCTCCTGTCCAGACTAAAACGGTGAAAACAAAGACCTAAGACGGAGAAGTTTGGAAATGCTGCCGACCCGTTCTGCTTCTCAAAACTCCGGAGGGCGTTTTAGTGCGGACGAGCCAAAACGGAGGACTTTAGAAACGAGGACGCAGCCGCTCACACTCGGCTCTCTGATTGGCTCTCATAAGTCATGCAAAGCAGAAACACGACGCTGCTGACGGAGTTTTTGACCTGGTATTTTTATTAAATATTCTGTACTCTATTCTTCGTCTGTAGGCTGTTTATTTATTCTTTCGCCAAATCTTGTGTAACTACAGAACAGACCACCTGCTTCACGTTTACACGCCCAGTGCACGTGAACGGCCAATACATCAACGTTTTAATGTAGACAGAGATCAACTCTGATACGCAGCTAAAACTGTGGACGGAGATCGTGTTTGTTTCAGTTCTCCGACGGCCTGAGTCTGGTGTCGGTCCAGACGAGCCATCCTGCCGACAGCACCGAGGTTGTTATGGAATAAAAGTCTTACTTGGCAGGTCTCCACAGCCAAACCAAAGACCTCCTTCATGTGCGTATTCTTATACACTGAGGGGGCATGTGGGGGAGGGCTGTCATGTAAAGGTCTCACACAGTTCTCTGGTTTGATGCTAGAAACAGCATCCTGCAGTTCCCCTTTTCTCTGAAGCTCTCTTTTCTATTCTCGGACTCTAAACCAGACAAAGCCCTAGCACTTTAACATCATCAGAGAAGTAAAAAATCACTTACTTTAAAACCCACTTTCCATCAGCAACCCTGAATGTGAGCTGGTTCATGAAAAGTTCACAGCTGAGGGTTTTTAGTTAAGAGTCCTCTGGAG